TTCAACTGCTCATTAGAGCTTTACAAAAGTGAGATCTTTGGTTGGAAAAACTATCGTTTTAGCTCATGTTTTAGCATTAGTGGTTGATCAATTGGAATTAATTAAATGATCAGATAATTAAATTAACACATTGTCAATTTCTGGCAAATGATAACATCCTGCATCCCTACAACAAGTCAGACGAATATTATTCAGCGTGATGAGAGACTAAACTGAGACAGAAACAGATACTGTATCTGGTCCAAAAAAGTGTTCAGTGTTTGGGCTCCTAAGAAAGCAGAATGTGAATGAGTGTTTGCTCAGGGTAAACTAAAGCACGAAGACAGCGTAAAAAAAAAAAACTGGATTCTTACGACTCTTTGGCACAGACGCAGCACAGCCAAGATCCATCGGAGAGCACGATCCTGCAGCTACGACACACCTCGTGGTTACAGAGCTGACACTGGTCGAGGGAGAGCGCGAAAGCACCGACAGGCTGCAGACATCGGGCACAGATTCTCTGACTGTACCTCACGCTGCCACGTTTGGCTCCTTTTCTCTTTACTTCTTGGAGCTCCGTCTTTAACTTCCTGTTTGGATCGAAACATGGAAACATACAAATTTTTAATTTTTAATTTAATCTGAGTACAAGCATCACCACAGTTTTATTAAATGTCTGTGACTTGAAAAAAAAAAAGATCATACTTTCTGATTTAAAACTTCAATAATAAAGAATAAAAAAAAAAAAAATTCCAAAAATTGAGGCTTGAACCCAATAGTTTACCTTTCTATGTAAGATTCTAGGAGAATTTTAAGAGTTTTTAATTTAAAAAGTTCTGATTTTCTTTACATTCTTACCTCATTTTAGTTCAAAATAAACAAAATTATTTTTTTTTTATCCTGAACTAAAACCATTCCTTAGACCGTGATTTTTTCTTTCTGACGTTGTTTAACTTCACACTTTCGTTTACAGATTAGATTAGTCAGATTAGTTCTTTCAATGATCTAATATCAATTAGTATATTCTTAAAAAAAAAGAAATGGATTCTGTGCAGTTTGCTGACCTGATGCGCTGCTCCTCAGCCTGCCTAAGCTCTTCATCTCGCTGCAGAACCTCGAGGATCAGCTCCCGCTCCGACTCAGATAGGAATGTCAGGTTGATGATGTCAGCAGCCTCGGGCATTTTGTGGCTTCAACGGCGATGACCTCTTGGCACAAGGGTAAAGGAATGTCGGAGCAGTTGTGGCATTGAGGAGGTTTCCTGAACGACAAGTATCAGCAGATGAGTGACGAACGATTGTTACTGCATCAAAGACACATCCTGCCATTTCAAGAGACAACAGAGGTTGAAACCGATGTTGCAGGAACCTGATCTTTTTTTTAAACCCAACCGAAAACAATGCAGGCCCGAGTTGAATTTTGAACATATTTACAAAGGAATCATGGCTAAAGACACAGCTCCTCAACTTAAGGTTCAAAGGTTTTGCTGGTCTTTCTAAGCATCACAACAACCTCCAGCACATACAGTACAGTGTCTATCTACTCATACAACAATGTACCAAAATTTAAAAAAAAAATAAACAGAGAGGGAGAGAGAGGAAAATTCAGCCCAGAAACGTAACTGGTCTTCACAAGAAGTGGCTCCTTGTGCTGCTCCTTCCATCTCAAATCCACCATTTAACCTCACTTATTGTTTTTTCCAACTTGGAGTAATGTATTCTAGACATCTTTGAATAAAAACTCGTGTTTGTGTTTAGTTCTGAATTGTGCTACCCCTGCTCCGGCAAAGAGACTAATTGGCCAACTTCCTAGTAAACACCTTGCAACTTCCCAGCCTTAAGAGCCGTTGTGTAACCGTGGTAATGATTACAAAAGTGCTCTTGCATGTTAAAATGATAGGTCTCCGGATATAGTTTGATTTATATTTGAACACAATAAACTTTAAACATAATCTAACGTGACCAAAAAAAGGACGAGGGGATGCATCGATAACTAAAGATGAATCGATTGTTCGGCCAGCGATCGGAACTGGCAGTTTGCAGCATGATCGACTGAGACTTTAGTTTGTAATTAACAAAAAAGGGGAGTCATGCAATTGTTCTTATCTCTTAATGTCACTGCGAAGATAAGTTGGATAAAGGTTTGAGGCACGGGAACCCATTTCCATTGAATACCTCATCTCAGTCAACAACCATTTTGTTTTGAAAGTTGTTGAACTAAAGAGAGTTCAACTGAGCGCAGTTTTTTTTTTTTAACAGAATTATTTATTGGAACAAAACTTTCACTCACTCAAAAACACATTTTGTATTTACTCTCAATTTAATTAACGCTGCACTTTACTGTACATGACATTGCTAGCAGAGTGGTTTCGAAGACTTGAATAAAGAATGTATACTTGTGCACATATTTTTGTGGTCATTTTTAACAATAAAAAGTCATGTTTTAAAGCATTCACAGTAAAAAGCGGCAGAATATATCAGGGTAATTTAGACAGAATAGACAGAATAGTATATTATTATGGTCCATTTTCAACACTCTAAAGTCATTTTTAGCAAAAAGTGTTCTGCATTAAAACGCTTTTGTACTCAAAATGTGTTGCTTTAAGTCATTTTTAGCTCAAAGTGTTCTGTATTAAAACGCATTTGTATTTTTTAACGTTGTTTCCAAAAGAAAACATCATGTACATTACGCAGCAATTATTTCGTCTGTCTACAGAGAGTACTGGAAATGGTTGAATTTATTCCTTGAATGTCTTGTGCAGTGACTACACAAAAGTGGACTCCTCTTTCCCCAGTAAGAGAATATTTAGACTGAACTGTTCGGCTAAAAAAAGAAAAGGAAAAACAAACTGATCCTGGGAGCAGGACAGGAGTCAAGCGATACTGCAGTGACAGGGTAAAAGGTTTAAACTGGCACACACAAAAACAACATGGCCATGGTTCCCACCCTCTAAGGACACAGACTGTGAGGGTGGAGACCAGCAGCTTAAACGTTTGTGTAATGTCAGTATTAAAATTGATCATGTGTCACTCATACCAAGCTGAAGCTTCATGCTTCATTTCCGATTTCTGCAGCTTTGAAGGATCAAAAAACTAGACGTGACTGAAAGCTGAATGTTTGCAGAGTAGGGTAACCTTTTTCCTCATTGTTCAAATGTCTATTGGCTATTTATCCCCAGCACGAATTTTAAGAAAATACTTCTGAACAGGCTTTTAAAAATAACACGTAAATGACAGTTTATGATTGTTCAAAACCACTGAGCTGAACAAGTGAAGCAGACAGCAGTAAGAACAGTAGGCGTCAGATAAACTTGAACTGCATTTATTTATATTTTAAGGCAGATTTTCTGACACAATCGCTTTAAAAAAAAAGAATATAGCAATACTAAAATTATATTAATCCAAATTTAATTTAAACATGTATTTCACTTCATCGCAAAAGTAAAAAAAAAGGGAAAAAAGCTAAGACTTTAAGTGTTTTCACTATCAAAATTAATTTGCCTACTCACTAAACCTCCGAAAACATGAGGGTCATCGAACAACAGCCAGATACTGTTCTTTTAGGAACTGGGAATGTGGATAACTACAGTGTGTGATACTGACTGCCCTGCCTGCAGTCCAGAAAGGTCTCCTAGTGAAAATGTAAAAAGCATCATGAATGGGACATCTGTAAACACTGACTAGTCGTCCTTTATATTCAGTAATACGCGAGAAGAAATGTCCACTTGTACAGCAGTGACAATAAGTTCCAGGTTACAAATCAATTACGTTACTCCGCTGTTATCCTCATTTAATTGCACTCCACTGCTTTGTAGTGATAATAAGATATTTAATTATATTCTGTTTCATTTTAAGAAAGAGGGATTTTATAAGTAAGTAAGGTTTATAAGTGAAACTATGTTAAATGTCATTTTGTCCAAGCAATAATGGAATTGGCAACTTTATTAACGGTGGACGTTTCTCAAATTTGCGCCTCGTAAATGTTAAATAACAGCAAATATTTTAAGAAAATGGAGCCCTGGAGAGATGCGTTCACTTCAAACAGTCAAACACGAACACCTGCTGTTTTCAACAGACTGACAGACTGTTATGACACGGACACGTTAGTGCAGCGGAACAGCAATATTACACAAGAGGTAAAACTGTCAAATAATAATAATTATAATAATAAAAATTTAAAAAAACTAGCTAAAGTGTTCGCGATGTTGTCTGTGTGTTAACTAATTTTTCTTTATCGGCGCATGTCGTTACCCTGTCTTTTCCTGTGTACTCAACTAACATACTGGACTAGTGCGAACACGTCATTGTAGACAGAAAGGTATTCCGAAAGAAACCCACACAATTCATGCATAATAATTCAATCGAGTAAGAATAATTACATTTTTAAGTTACCAGGAAAACTCACCTTGTCTATTGGTTGTGCATCTTCTCGGTTTTCCTTACCATTTCCTTTTTCTGTCTCAACTTTTTCCAAGACTGGGACCGTGACAGTGAACGCTGCACACAAACCGGAAGATGGGGAAAGTTTGCAGAAATAGCATGGGAGAGAGGAGGAAAAGGGTAGAAGGAGGAGAAAGAGAGGCGGAGCAGAAGTAGAAAAGAGAAAAAGTAAGTCGGGATGCATTTCCCATGACAGGTGTTTCTACTTTGCTGTTTTCCTCATGTCGCCATTCACGTTGAGACACAAGTTAGTGTAGAGCGGGGTGTCCGCAGTTTTGTTTTTATGGCGGAAGCTAATGTTTAATTGACCAGGCTAAAGTATCTACAGTACATGAAAAACGGAAAATATATATTTACTGATTTAAAAACATGTACTTCATATATATTATATGTTGGGATACAGATTAATTGTACGTACGTGTATGGCACAATGTGATGTAATTATTATAGTACTGTATATGTGTAATATTTTAATTGTTCATATGGTATCATGAACAATTAAAACCAGCTGGTTATTAAAAAGTACAGTCAACCAGCCGATATTCCAAATCACTTTCTCTCTCTCTGGAGTAAATGAAATAGACATACATTTATTTTTACATACTACATGTGTATTTTGGAAAAGAAAAAAAACAGATTCACATGTGAGGAGAATAAAAACAAAGAATGTTAATCCACGTGAGTCTCTTTAAAGCCTCTTCAGATGTACACGAACTTCTCAACCGTAAAACGTTTCCTTATATGGTTCTGTTACTGCAACTGAATCAGAAGAGCAAGTCCCATGATTTATATATTTACATATACACATGACATGGTTGGTAGTGGAGAAAAACAGGGTATGAAAGGTGTTTTTACATTTTTTATTTATTACATTTGACATATTTTGCTCTGTTAAAACACAGTGCTTTTTGGCCTTTGTTCTGTATGAGTAGCGAATACATTTGTGTAAAAAAGTAGCATACGTTTTATATTGTTATTAAAATAATATAGCAGAAATGTGTATACAGTCAAAAAACAGTCGTGTCATAAATTTGTATCCACAGTTTTACAGTCTACGGACTGAAAACCCTCTGCAGTGTGTCTGTGTTCTGGTCTACACTCCAGGTCCAGAACAACATGGTGAATGTGAGGAGCGTATGACTTTACGTTTTCTATGTGCCGGATGTTTGTTTGCCATGATGCACCGTTAATCTCCTTTAAAATCACAGCGATGCGTCTTGCTGTGTCCTCTGCCCAGAGTCTCCAAGCCTGTCTGTCTGCTTTTTTCCCACAAAACCTCTGTGAGGGTTCACTGCAGAATTCTGCGATATCATCCGCAGCTTGAGCGTTGGTTGAAGGCAAGGAAATATTTTGATGAATGTGTAAAACTCCACCGCTTTTCTTCTTCAGCAGACGACAGGCCACCGGCCAACCGTCCTCGGAGCTGGGAATCAACCCTAGGTTAACGCGGTCTGCAATGTCACTCAGCTGCAGCTGTGAAGGGAAAAACGTAAGTGACAGGATGGGTTAACTTGTGTCCTTTTTTAAAATTTCTTTTGTGTGAGTAGATCACATCACTTAATGAGATAAAAATAAAACACTGTACTGTAAGTTGCTGTAATGTTACCTGTCGGTTGTCTCCAGGGTAGATGGTGCAGCGATCGGACACCCGGTTGGTCTCCAGGTTCTTCTGTAGAGCCTCTATAGCAGCTGGATTCCACTCACAGGCGTGAACATGAGCAGCTCCTGCATGGACCAGGTATGGAAGAGTGAAGTATCCAATACCTGGTTATAAGGTCAGGATGTTGGTGTTTTAGAAGAGAGAAGAAAACACATTACATTAAGGATGGAGGTTATTTTGTTTAGGCTGAGTAATCTCCATACCTTCTACTGTTTTTATGTCTTATTTTGTAAATATTCCACTAGAGCAGTGGTGCTCAATTGTTTTCTCTCATGCTCCCCCTTGGGGACAGAAATGTTATCACGCGCCCCTCCGACCCACACCCCCACGAATTGAAATAGTATTGAGAACCTGACACGTATATTTTTATACAAACTACTGTAGGAGTTGCTGCCACCTAGTGACTGGAGGCTTGTTATCATCTCACCACGCCTCCCCAGGGGTGCCTGCCCCACTATTTGAGAAGAACTGCACTAGAGTTATCAAGTTCCTACCTGCGTATAAATCCACCACGGTTTCTCCAGTGCAGTTCAACGCAGCTACACGCAGCTTCTCTGAGATGTTTCCAGCTGAAAACATGCATTTAGTGACGTCAAACTCGTAGCTAAAACACGAGATAAAGAAAACAGGAATAAGTCCAAGATTAGTTCAAAATCAGAAAATTGCGAAGAATAATCACTGAACTGACCTGATTCCATTATCCACATGTCTGACCCAGCTGTCATCTCCCAACATTTTCACCATAGGAGAACGAAATCCGTCCGTTGACACCCGGCTCATTTTTGCCAAACGCTTTGCTCCCAGACCCATTGCCACAGAGCTCCACAGATCTTCTCCTGTAGATAACATACACCATAAGTGACAAACTCAAGGCCCGGGGGCCAAATGCGGTCCACCGAGCCGTTTGGTGTGGCCCACAGGAAAAAAATTGAATAAGAATATGGTTTACAGACCAGGTCAAATGTAAACACTTTTCATTTTAAGTCCCAATTACATTTTGTTTTTTGTTGCTCTTGTTTTTCTATAGAATAAGTTAAAATGAAAACCATTTCTCAATGTTCTTTTAGTTGAATGTTGATTTTTTTTTTTTTACTGTTAAGGGTTTATGCTCAACAATATAAAATACTCAGATATGAAAGATTTAATTATTCAAACAGACAGAGGAAAGTTTGAGAAAGAAAAAAATATATAGATGTATAAAAGTCGAATATTGATAGTTTAAAATTGTTAACGACTTACCCAGTTTCTCCCACAGTGCCAGAGAAAAACTGGCATCTCCCAGAAGAACCAGGTCTCCGTGTCTCTGGAAACCGCGAGGAAGATCTTTCCTCAGCTCGTCAGTCCATCTTTCACCACGGGACTCCAACAACTGCTGCAGGACAGTCTCAAGTTTTCTGCATCTTGTCTTTGACTTCTCTTTCTTCGACTGCAGACCAGACTATGACAAAAGGAAAAAAGAAATCAAAATCAGATTTCCGTGCCAATATGTCGCACAAATAATCACACAATGCAAGATATATATGAAATATAAATGTATATTTGCGCATATTGGAAAATAACAACAACAAACAGAAACCTAACAAAATAAATAGTTAGGGCGTAGCTATTTCACCCACATCTAATGATGAATTTAACTTTCTTACCAAAATCCCAATCAGTTTAAATTGGAACAAAATTACTGACTGATTATTAATTTATTATTAAAAACAAAAAAACTTGACTTCACCTGTATCCAGACTATCTCAAAGACGCTGTCTGAAGACACTAAGTCTCTCAGGGACAGAAGGTCAAGCTGTGAGAGACAGGATGATGCGACAGGCAGTAGTACTGTCTCATCCGAGTCTCTCTGGAGACGCACACTTAGGTCGAGAACTCCGTTGGACTCCAGAAACTTCCTGTAAATCACACGACGCCGTTACTCTCACAGTGTATGGCTTTACTTTCACCATGATGTTTTTTTTTATTAGGTGAATAAATGCGATATTACCTGAAGTACTGAGCGTGACACTGAGAGACACGGACACAGGGAATACTGTCCATTTACAAAGACGAAGCTAAACAGAAATTGAACACGTAAACCCCAGGATAACTGATACACAAATACCACAGAAAAACACGAAATCGTACAGTTCCATTTGTACTAGCACTGGATTAGATTAAATAGATGTTGTAGTAATGGCTATAGTATTTACGACGTACGGAAAATGTCTGAATTGGTGAGAGTGCGTAAATTAGGTAGGCGAATAAAGGAAGAAAATAAACATAACAAACCTTATTGCCTGAAAACAAGTAAACCCATGGACCAATTGTTGCAAAGGGGGCTGTGCGTCGACGAATAGTGTCCCCGAGAAAACGCCGTCCGCTCATTTCCTTCATCAAAAACAAAACCACCTTCAAACAATAATACAATGATAAGTACGCAACACATATGTATATATTTAGATAATTTACGGGCCTAATAATGTTTTTGTAGATATTTATATTCCACCAACGCATCTACATGGAACACAGCAGCCGCATTGGTTCTAATGGGACTGTTAAACGTACGGACATTTTTATTTTCTGTTATGCTGATACTACCTTTAACAAAAGTTTTAGTGGTTACACAATAAAAAAAATCTTAACACTAAAATTTCAGTATCAACAAAGAATTTCGATTTTTCTTTCCTTCAAAATATTACATTAAAATGCTCGATATCGCAAAAGGGCAATTTTGCACTAATGTCACTAGATGGCGACAAATGCAATAGTGGCATGTTATAGTTAAAATCTAACATAAATACGATCTAGTAAAAAAAATCCTCATACTTCGCACATCATAATATAAAATATTGCTAATACAGATATATGTTGGGCTTTCTTTTTACTCTATTTGCCGGAATAAATAACTAAATTCAGTTTTTTTTGTATTCTATTTTTTATGGGCCGAAAAAGAGCAGCATTTTTGGGGACTTCGATCGGGTTTTTTTAATCCTAGCCCTTGGTTTCTTCTAGAATTGTTATAAAGCTACATTAACGTTAGGTTATAACTTTGCTATTTTTTATTTTTCATTTAGATAGATAGATAGCTAGAAATATAGATAGTCAGACAGATAGATAGATAGACAGATAGATAGATACTTTATTATTTCAATGACAGCAATTTTAAATTAAAACGCTATATTATTATTTTGTAAATCTGCATATACATTTCGATTATCCTATTTCCTTTGTTGTGGTTTCTGGGTGTTCCTGTCGCTTTAAGAATAAAGGCGTGTTTCCTTAGACTGAACAAGTCCTGCTGGAAAACCTCATTATCATCATCCTCATCATAATTACCATCAGTAGCAGTAGAAGCAGGTCAGTCCGAATAACCACCATTATCATTTTTATTTTTAATATTTTACAGGGTCAGTTTTGGTCTTTGTGGAGCCGCACCAAACCCCGTTTTTGTCTGATCCGGATGAGCTGGTCCAGGTCCGCAGTTCCTACTGCAGCTGCTGATTTTTCCTCTCCGCCTGATTTTTCCTTTTTCATTCTGGCACACACGGTCATAGTGGGAGCGGACAGGGAGTCGCGGCTGCGGGGATAATATATGCCAGGTAAAACCTGCTGTGATTGTGATTTTTGTAAGGACATGAAAATGTCCCCGAGTCCCCGCCCAGTCCCGGGAAATCATTGCAACAAATCATATTTTTCCCTTTTGTGTGCAAGACTGACCGATCAGGATTTCTGATCCGGATTTTTCTTCTTCATGGTCTTATAATTTTTCTAATTATACACCGGAATATCAACTGCAGAAGAACTCAAGACTGGTCTTGACCAATAGCAGGCCTTGAAACAGGGAGGCTGCCGTCCACCAAGAACAGGAACAGACAAAAAGGGACTCGACTGGCGTGGCTAGAGTAAAGTTCAAAAACAAGACTGATCTACAACCTTTTTTTTTTTTTTTTTTTCTAAAACAGACCTTGATCCAGAAATGGTCTGACAACAACACCCCTCTGAGAACAACACAGAATACAAGTGTGAGAACTGGCCTAAAAAGACCAGCTGGTCTGGATAAAGAACTGGTAAGGGAACCAGCACAGTGAAATGGTCTATTGTGGAGACAGGAGACAGAACGGAGGACTGGACTGGTTTTAAAAGAGGACCTGTCCAGTCTAGTCTGGTCTGGACAAAAGACTGATCGTACAAACATCCTGGGACTGCTCCGGATAGTGGACTAGTTGCGGTCCGTATTAAGGAATATTCTGGTCTGGACGAAGAAAAAAAAAAAATCGGGTCACCATGTCTGCAGTGATGATCACTCGTAAAGTTCGTAAATGGGAGAAGCTCCCTGGAAAGAACACATTCTGCTGTGATGGCCGGGTGATGATGGCCCGTCAGAAGGGCGTCTTCTATTTGACCCTGTTCCTCATCGTCGGCACCTGTGCCCTGTTTTTTGCCTTTGAGTAAGTGATCTCCTTTTCTTCTTTCTTCTAGTCTTTTGAATTCCGTCCATTGACGAATCCCATCGCTCTCTTAAAGTTTGACCAAACACAATTTCCAGAACTGATTCCTCCTCACAATTTAATTTAAGAGCAGCAACTAGAAAAAGGGTACAGTTTGTCATTTTTTTAAAGTCGATCTATTACCATAAATAAATAGCTTCGGTGTTAGAATGGAATAAGCTAGAGAAGGTGTACGTTTCACAGGGGAGGCCATCTTGTGCCGCCATGTTTGAACGCTAGAGTGGAGGAACAGACTGGCGAGGGTGTGAGAGTTCACATTTTTCATCATGGGCAGGAAGTGGTGAGCAAAAGAGTGTTGTGAAGGTGCTACGTTGTCATCGATTCTTCCTCACTAGGCACCGTCAAAAATAGGTAAAAAAAACAATCTGTATGTGTGTCTTATTACATGTAATAATGTGTCTTTTAATACGTGGTTTTGCTCGATGAGCAAGCCTTGAATGTGAGTATTTTCAGTGAATATTCTGAAGACAAAAGGCAAAGATTTTTAAGCCATTATTTAACACCAATGTGTTAAAAAGGTATATGTTGTTTTTTTTAGCACTTCCAGGTTATAGGTTTTCTTGCATAACCTCCCTTATTTACACACATTTACATATTTCCAGTCGACCCATGATGCTCAGCAGCGGCACTCAGTTTTGTGAAATATGCGTCCGGTGTCTCATCTTCAAACCCCAACCTAGACTGGAAATCATTCCCCTTCATTATTTCCTCTGGACAGATATATTATTAAAAGGAAGAAGGTACACAAGAGGGAGAGAGAGAGAGAGAGAGAGAGACTCTGAGACTCCATTACATTTAATTATGTTTGTACAACTCCCTCGATTTTAATTGGTTAATACTGTCTGACCCAGTTTGTCTTGCCAGATCTGTTTGTTTTAACATATATTTCCCACTAGCTGAGTTCTAGAGTCATTGCTTTTCTTTCATTTTTTCTTTCTTTCTTTCTTTCTTCTTCAGGGACACATTATATTTGACACACCCTACCAGATCGTAGCATTGAGTTCATCCGTATCTGCAGTCCCTTGACAAGTAGGAATAACAACCGGCAAAAGTTAAAAATAGGACGAACAGCAGCGTATATTGATACAAAAACACCAGAATACACGAGGAGAAATCGCAGCCAGGCAAAAGAGCGTCCGAGTCACCGACCACACAGCCGAGTAACCTTATCGGGGTGGATTCAGAGGGGCTTATTGAGCTGCAGATCCTCACGCCTTCACACGAGGAGAGCCACTGATCTGTGGCTTTTACAGAGAAAGGATAATATAGCAGGATACAGTGGACCCCCAAGATACGAGTTTAGTCGGTTCTACAACAGCACTCGTGTCTCTCGATCGAATTTCCCCCTTTAAAAATAACTAAAAAACCAATTGATCCGTTCCAGCACCCTAGAAATATACTATTATTTTTTTCCCCCATCTAAAAATCAAAAACATAGATATAAACAAATATATTGATAATATAAAATAAAAACAATTAGGAAAACATTTTATATTATTGTTATAAAATGGGTAAAATAAACAAGCAAGGGACAGTAAGCGAGACAGTGTCGGGGCCACTGAGGTAGGAGAAGGATTATATATATATTCACATATATATATATTATTATTATTTTAAACACTAAAGGTTCGTGATGAGAAATTTTCTAATATTTCTGAGAGTTGTAGATTATTGTTTAAACCATCTATGCATCTATTTGAAAGAACCTTTTTTTTTTTTTTTTGGTATCCGTGTTTGAACTTTCGCGTCCATAATTGTAAAGTCACGTCTTTATCAGCGGGACTTTGTCTTCCTGTTTAGCAGCTGCTGACACAGAAGAGGTTTATGATTGACCACAGCGAATTAATATTTAATAACCACGTCTGCTCACCTGCACTTTAGTGATTTCACGAACGACGGCTGTTGTCTCTTACTGTTGTCTCAGCGAAAAATAATGTTATTTCAATTTTTTTTATTGCTTTTTTTTTTTTTTTGATTTTGCACAGACTACCACCTTAATCTAAAGGGAACGTTTTTATTTATGGTAATAACAATGTAAGAAATCTAAAAGGAAAAAGAGGAACTTTCATCAAGGCAAAGGTTTAAGCTGCATTTCCAGCACATGCTAGTTTTGGTCATTGTTTCCACTGTGTTAAAGTCGATCTAGGGCAGGGGCGTCAAAGTCATTTTGGTTCACGAGCCACATGCAACCTAATTAGCGATCAAGTGGGCCGGACCAGTACAATCATCACCAGTGTAATCATAATAATAATTAACTATAAATGTCCACCTAATTAGCGATCAAGTGGGCCGGACCCGTAGAATCATCACCAGTGTAATCACAATAATAATTAACTATAAATGTCAAAAAGTCCATGTTTTCCCACCCTTGTTTTCATGCAAACACATAGTATTATATATATATTGTATGTATTACATATTCGTATTTAGTCCATTATTTTCCAGCCCTATGAAAACAGTCCAAAAGTGAAAGAAAGTGAATTCTTTGTGACACAGCACAAATTGATTTTTTTTTAAAATCCCTAAAAAAAAAGGGTTTTTTTTTTTTTTTTTTATTCATCAACTGCCAAGCGGGCCGATTTTGGCCCTCGGGCCGTGTGTTTGACACCCCTGATCTAGGGTATGAAAACAGTTTCGCCATGTTCCCAGTGTCTCCAATCTGTGTTTCCAGGTTTCTTAGGAACCCCAAATTCCTAAATATACCTCACACCCACATCCTTGTTTGGACATCAGTCAAAAGACTTCTTTAAAGCAGGGTCCATTATTTTCCGATATATATATATATATATAAACACAGACAGTTGTCATTGAAAAGCAAGCTGCAGAAGTTTGTTGTTTCAGTAGAGTTATTACCCTGCACGCCTGTTTCACTGTCGGTTTTTCACTGGGAGTGACCAGTATGGACAGAATTAGAAATATGCAAAGAGGGACAGTTAAGGTGGAGTGATAAAAGTTTGAGAGGAGAGAGTTCTAAAATGTTGTTGTTGACGAGAGATGGAATTTTCAGATAAACGGTGAACGTCGTAGAATCTGTCTGTGTCGTTGCTTTTCTGTTTTTTGTGACGGAGTCTTTTTCGGGAAAATAGTATAAAAACCTCCATTAAACATCTGTTGATTTGACCAGGCCCAATCTTCACAATGAGCTACTGTATGTGCGAGTCCGGCGTGTGCAAGTGTCCCCCACCCTCCCAGCATCTCCCATTGTTTATAGTTAAAATTCAAACCATGTTAAGTTCCGTTTTTCCACATCTTTTTTTTATTCACGTGTCACTGACTTCCACTGAGCTCCGAACACTGAGTGAAATGCTGTGTCAGAAGCTTTTCATTGTCTGACTGAGCAAAGTGCCTCCATCATGGACAGAAGCCAAAGGATTCTCTGCTGCTCCATCGTGGAGCTGCGCCCTTCCTTCCCTTTTTTTTCCTCCTCCTCCTCCGTGTCATCATCATCATCATCTGTGGCACTGGCAGGATTAGAAACGCGTACGCTTGGGGGAAAGATGCGGTGATAGCGTGTGTGAAAATAATCAACAACAACATCTTCAACGGGAAGTCGACAGAAACGTCTGACTTCAGTGGTACTGCTTTGTGTGGCTGCTACTGTCACAGCTGCTGCTGCTGCTGCTGGAAACTGGTATTGATCTGAGGACTGCTCTGAATTTCCATTAGAGAAAGACATAGCTTTGTTGTGGAAGAACTGCTCAGACCAGTTCAACAAAAGGTGTGAGTGTTTGTGTGTTGTGTACATGTGTGTGTGTGTGTGTGTGTATGTTGTTCCAGCTCTGGTATGTTTGCCGACGGTGAATCATCATCTTTACATGTAAATGATTGGCGTCTGTTCAACTTCAGCTTCGTAACTTTTCTAAAATGTAAACGCACACTTTTTGTGCACGGAAAGTATAGCATTCTCGCATGCACATAAACATTATAATAAATAAAAACATTGATTTAAGTGAGAGAAGGAAAATGGATGTGTGTCGGTAAATGGAACAAACATATTGTGCAAAAAGACTTTGTTGGGGTTTTGGTTCACGTGTTTGCATTTCCGAATGGTACCGTATTTTTTTCGGACTTTAAGTCGCTCCAGGGTATAAGTCTCACCAGCCAAAAAATGTATAATGAAGAAAAAAAAACCAAGTTGCTCAGAAGTATAAGTCTCACCAGCCAGCTAGAGTGCCCTCTAGTGGCTCTTAGTATGAAAATAAAGAACGTGTACATTTTCAGTGGTACAGGAGTAGCAGACACTGGTACACAAGCCTAGAGTGCCCTCTAGTGGCTGTCAGTATGAAAATAACGAATGTACATTTTCAGTAGTACAGGAGTAGTACATACTGGCACAGAAGCCTAGAGTGCCCTCTAGCGGCTGTCAGTATGAAAATGACAAACACAGCAGATACGGGTACACAAGCTGACAGCACAAACCCAACATAAATCCATAATTTAGCCGCATCATTGAAATGTGAAAAAAGTAGCGGCTAAATAATCACCGTAATTTCAATAACGGCATTTTTTTTTCCCTCCACCTCAGATGTCCATACCTGGCTGTCCATCTCTCTCCAACCATCCCGGTCTTCGCTGCTCTTCTCTTCCTCTTCGTCTTGGCCATGTTGCTGAGGACCAGCTTCAGTGACCCTGGTGTTCTGCCAAGAGCTCTGCCAGAAGAAGCTTCCTTCATTGAGATGGAAATTGGTAAGTAACTTAGACGCTTTTACAGACAAAAATTTATTAAAAGAAAAAAGAAAATTACATTCAGCAATTTTCTCATATATAAAAGTAAAACTCAACATAACAGTTCTCCAGCTTTATTTTAAAGTAATTAGTCTGTCAATGTATATTGGTTTTCTCTCATGAGCAGTAACAAATGATGGAACATTGGCAGCAACTTTTTTTGTTTGCTAGAAGTTTATGTCAAACCTCTTCTCAGCCAGTGGTCTCAAACATCTGGCTGGGGGACCACTCGCAGCCCGTGAAGTTCTCACAATCTGGCCCGTTTAGATACAGTAGAATATTTAAGAATAATCCGCTTTTTCTTTATGTTTTTTTTTTTAAACATAATTTATTTAAATCTGTCTAATGAATTTTTTGCTAGTATTTTCATATTTGTATTTTATTGCCATAGCATCGATATCACACATCTTTCAAGATTCTGAGCCATCTTAATATCCCACATGGATATCACTGTGTATTTATATGCGTATTATTGTATTTACGCGTACATAGTTGTACGAGGTTTTTGTACAAATGTTCACCAATACTCAATTATCGTCACCCTTGTGTGTAAACAGAAGCAGCCAATGGAAACGTTCCGGCTGGTCAAAGACCTCCTCCCCGGATCAGGAATGTCGAGATTAACAACCAGATTGTCAAACTGAAATACTGCTACACCTGCAAGATCTTCAGACCTCCTCGAGCTTCTCACTGCAGCATCTGCGACAACTGTGTCGGTGAGAAATGAACTCCGTTTCTGATCTGACCTTCTGACGCAGATTTTGCAATATGAACAGTAACCGTGACACGGAGATGGTTGGTGCTAGAGATCAAAATTAATAAGACGAGAGCAAAAATACAAACGAAATGTAGTGGTATTTTAAATATCCAAGACCACCATAGACTGCTTCCTGTATCCTGCCTTTAAGACCCGAGGCTTTGTAAACTAGCAGTCTTAATAATGACCGCCAAATCTGATTAAGTCTATGCTTTTAGTCTGTGGTCTGCATTGTAACTCAGGGTTAAAAAAATAAAAAATAAAATTTATAAAAGACAAAATTGGCATCAATTTTGTCTTTTATTAATTTTATTTATTTTCCAGTCAACAATTTTTTTTTGACCAATCAATCAGGAAGGTCATTATTGTGGTCCGCATAATTGTTTTGGTACAAGTTTTATGCCGGGTGGCCTTACTGATGTAACCCTCACCTATTTATCTAGGAGGATAAAAATGCGGCCCGCCAAGTTATTTTGTACGGCCCCGGGGGGGACTGAGCTGAGTTTCTTAACCTGATACGTTATAATTTATAAAAACTATTTCTAACTTTAATAAATACTAATCACTCGCAGAAACATCTACCGTTACATCTACAGTCTCCCGTTTACAACCCGCCCTCCTGGTGAACATGGCTTGAAAAGTATTTGGTCCGTGCTTATCACAAACTTATCTTGGCTTCGTCGCAAAATACCAGAAACCCTACACCTGCGTGTTTGTGTATGTGTGTGTGTGTGAGACACACACAGATGAACCAGTGTTCTCAGTGACTCATTCGTTTTTCTCTGTGAGCCTTTACTCTTTGGTCAAATCACTGATATCGAGCAGTCTTCACACACACACACACACACACACACACACACGGGCGAACACTCACTCTTCCGTTCGACTGCAGATCAATGTCTTACAAAATTCATTAACAGCAGCTGAAATGGGTTTTACCGTAATTTCTGGACTATTGAGCGCACCTGAATAGAAGCTGCGCCCACTAAATTTAAAAAAAACAAAAAAAAAACAATTTTACACATATACCTACCAGAAAGGTCATTGGTCGCTAGCTGTATGAACTTCATTAGCCTGTAAAAAATCCATAAATTAGCCGCATCATCGTTTGAGCCGCAGGGATCAAAGCTTGTGGAAAAAAGTAGCGGCTTATAGTCCGGATATTACGGTATTTCATTTTAACCCAGAGAAACGGCACAACTAAAAAAAACAAAACATTATCAATTAATGACTTATTATTATGAATCTGAATCTGATTTATTTTTATTTGCACTGTTTTCTCTTTATTCGTTTACAGTAATTTTTTTTTTTACCACTTTAACATGAAGTCAGACCAAGTTCCGTTTACTTCCTCGTATGTTTGTGCGTATGTTTAGTAAAACAAAATGTTATTTTGGTTCATTTCAATACAGTATTCAGTGTTTTTTGTGGTGTTTTGTGTGAATCCAGATGTGTTTTATGACTTGTCATTAAAGTGTGTGGTTGACTGAGAGGTCATTATAGTCTAAAGAACCAGCGGAGCAGGTAATAGACTTTATGGTGTCTTACCACGGTTAATGGGCTGGAGTGAACATTTAAAAAGACTTCGATGCGCCAATCAGTTCATGATGATGTTTTTTATTTGTTTTACGTTAACAGTGTTGTTTTTCTCTCTCTCTCTCTCTCTTGCACACAGACCGTTTTGATCATCACTGTCCATGGGTTGGAAACTGTGTTGGAAAGAGAAATTACCGTTACTTCTACCTGTTCACTTTGTCGCTGTCTCTGCTCACCATCTACATCTTCACCTTCAACATCGTCCATGTGGTCATGCGTGAGTATCAGTCAGAAGAGCCAGTCCTAGGAGTCACTCAGTGAACCATGGAGAGAAACGGTCGAAGAATCAGTGGAGGAATTGGTCAGAGAATCAGTCCGAGTTTTTTTCTAATTTTCTTTCAAGGTCAAAGTTGCAGGAGGAATTGGTCAGAGAATCAGTCCGAGAACAAGGCAAAGAACCATTTAAAAAAAAAGAAGAGAATCAGCTGAAGAACCATAAAATTAGACTAAAACTGGTCAGAGAATCAGTTGCAATTTCTTTCAAGGTCAAAGTTGCAGAATCAAATGAAGGACAGAAAATGCGGTCAAAAAATTAATAGTGATGCACGCTAACATTTTTCTAACATTTTTTGATTTGATGTAATATTAGTTTTTGGGCAATTTTTGATACCAATATTAATATTTTGTGATTTTTTTAAATTGTTTTACACCAATAAAACACAAGAAAAATACTGGCGTTTAACAACTTTAACACTTCACTTGGTCATGGAACCATTCAAAGAAGCTAACATCTTATGTGCGGTGAAACAGAAAGAACAGTCTAAAGCAGGGGCCGCAAACATACGGCCCGTGGGCCAAAACCGGCCTGCTTGATAAATTTAGAAAGTGAAAAAAAAGCACTTCATGCTAGTCATTTTTTGTCAAATTATATCAAATTAAACTATTTTTAATATACTTATTATATATATTAATATTATATGTAATTTTGTTATGATTGTATTGGTTTGGCACCTGTACCACAATGAGTTTAACACCCCGATCTAAAGCAACAAAGTCCATTCTTGACATTCCGAAATTTGACAAGGCAAAATAAACAGTTGACTGACTGAAGTATTTCTGACTGTTAGTTTACAAATATGTAAAAGGTCGCCCCAGGAAAGGTTTTTGCTAATATAATAACCACCTTTAAACATGTCCTTAAACATGTTTGACATTTAAATATGCTTTAAAGGAAATGCTGCTCAGCTTTCTCCCTATGTCACACCTTTTTTGAAGTTCAATTGAATACGATTCATAAATAAATTTTCTTCTTTTCTGTTTCACAGGTTCAGTGGATAACGGTTTCCTAAACACTCTGAAAGAAACTCCAGGAACGTATCCTTTTAATAAAGTTCAAACGTCACTGCAACGAAATTGAAAATATCAAAACGTCCTCTATACTTTTAATCAGAATTAAAACTATTAACTGTAGTATTTGGAATCAAAGGTTTTCCACAGCAGCAGGTCACGTGAGGACACTGACTGTTATCATTATCAACATTTGTCTCTGCTTTAGGCATAACCGCCGTCAGTGCTGCTGAGACATGGGGCTGAACTGTTTCACGCTAGTCTTTTATCAATTTAGATCAGCTCAGAAACAGCGGTTTGTCATCGGTCTTATTTTATATTTTTATCATTGCATAGTAGAAAAAGGACTACTGGTACTGTTTCCTTAACCGGTGGACAGTGTACTGGAGGTGTTGGTGTGTTTCTTCACGCTGTGGTCAGTGGTGGGTCTGACAGGCTTCCACACGTACCTCATCTCTCTAAACCAGACCACCAACGAAGATGTAAGTTCTAATTCACACACCCACCTCAGTCTCAGTCCACACACGGTCTCTCACATTTAAGTTCAGTCACATTCGCAGATTCTTTGTCAGTTACAAAATCTAAGTACCGTATTTTCCAGACTGTAAGTCTCTCCGGAGTATCAGTCGCACCAGCCAGCTAGAGTGCCCTCTAGCGGCTGTCAGTGTGAAAACAAACATACATTTTCAGTGGTACAGGAGTAGCAGATACTGGTACACAAGCCTAGAGTGCCCTCTGGTGGATTTTAATATATAAGTCACACCTAAGTATAAGTGGCAAACCCAGTCAAAGGATGAAAAAAAGTGCGACTTTTAGTCCGGAAAATACGGTAGATCTAATCCAACATTCCAGATACTCTAAGTCACTCGCATTATTTTTTTAAAGGATTGATATCTGTAACCACAAGAAGGCTAACGTTAGCTTTAAATGTATCTGTAGAGAAAAAAGACAAATGCTAAAATTATGCAAACAATGTTTATAATACTATAAAAAAAATAGTAATATAATAGAAGTACAATATAGTGGCCTGTAAACATTTCTGTCCCCTAGGGGGAGCATGACATAAAATAATTCAGAACCAGTGACATACAGAATGTTCAGATCAACAACTCAGACCTGGTTGTGTGGACTGTAAAGAAAATTTAATACAATGCTTGTGTAAATATTTGGAATTCATGCCTGCCGTGTGTGTGTGTGTGGTGACCAAACATCCATTACTGCAGTTCAAACACGCACGTGCACACACAAGGGAGAAGAAAAGAGAAAAGGCTGTTGTAACACAATCTCAATGATACCGATTGGTCAAGATTACAAATATACACATTAACGCTAGAAAAACAGCGAATTTGATTTGGATGCTTTTATTTCTAAACTGAATTCATTTTAATGTTCAGAATCAGACCAACATTTTTGATTGCACTTGTTTTTTTTTTCCTCCTCAGATTAAAGGATCCTGGTCCGGAAAGAACCGAGTTCAGAATCCCTACAGTCACAAGAACATGATAAAGAACTGCTGTGAGGTTCTATGTGGACCCACCTACCCCAGGTCTGGACCTAACACTGAACACAAACATGGCTGCTGATTTACTCTTCATTTTTAGTAGAAGGATCGATATAAGTTTTTCATGTCAGATACCGATACTGCAATACCAATATCAATCTGAAACCTTCATTTGTCTCCCTGCATGCCGCGGGAATATTTTAGCCTAATTTACATGTAAATTTTCAGTGGTGTCATGTCAGATACCGATACTGCAATACCGATACTGCAATACCTATACGAATCTGAAACCTTCGGTTGTCTTCCAAGCAATTTTTCATTCAGTATTTTTTAAAATACATTTTGAAAAAAATACACAGTCACTACCATATTTTCTGGACTATAAGTCACTTCCGAGTATAAGTCGGACCAGCCAACCAGCGACTGTCAGTGTAAAAATAATGAACATGTAAATTTTCAGTGGTGCAGTTGTAGCTGATACTGGTACACAAGCCTAGACTGCCCTCTAGTGGCTGTCAGTGTGAAATTTATATTTTAATATATAAGTCGCAGCTGCAAACCTAGCCGAAGGATAAAAAAAAGTGCGTAATAAAAAAAAAAAAATCAGTTCGCCCTGTCACTTGGCAGCTCCATATGTAGCTAGCCTGCACCACTACACCTGCTGCCTTCTTTTACATAAGGGTATGATCTTTGTAGTAGTATCGGACCAGACGAGTTATAGTAGCTTTTTTTCGATATTAGATTCTGACATTTTAACCACTATCGCATCGATTTCGTTCCCGAGTATCGCATCGAGCCATCCCTAGTCCATGGTCTTTTCTTTATTTTGAGTTTCACTTCTTTTTTCCAACGCTATTGTTAAATTCTGTATCAACTGTCGGTCAGTTTCTCTGACTGATCATATGTCTGTGTCTGCAGTGTGTTGGACAGAAGAGGACTGATGCAGTTATCGCCCGTCTCGGAGTTTTCCGCTAATGACACTGATGCGTCACCGTGCAGCAGCAGCACCGACAGCAGCAACAGCAGCAAAACACTACCCTCAACCAAGGTATGCTGTCCAGTGCTAAGACTTAATCACAATATTTAACTCATGTGTGTTGTGCAGCTCTGACCCATGCAGGGAATAAAGGGAACAGAACGAAAGATATTAACGAACGACGGGATGTTTCGTACATCACTCAGTCATGAACTGACACCGTCCGACAGCAAAGAAGGAAACGCAAAACCTGTCCACGCAGCACAATTGTCCCCTGGACGGAACAGTACTGATTATTTCATTTTTTTTGTGGGTCAGAAAAAAATATGATATGTGATTCAATCTCCACCTCTTTGTCTTTCTCCCAGCGCGCCATCCTGTGTCTACACAAACCTAGGCCTCCTCCAATCCGTAACAATCCCACGTCTGACGATCTCAAAGCCAGCATCACCGACACGGCGCACACGAGCCCCGCCCACAGCCAGGCAGAGGAGTCTTCTGCTGCGAAAACCCCGCCCCTTGCTACGCCTGAGACTGATGCCGAAGCGTCCGTTGCGAAGAGCCATTAGTTGCATGATGATATGCTGTATATAAAATCAAACCCCTTGACTCTGGCTGTTCCACTCCCCGCCCCCTCCACGACCAGACATTGGATAACAAAATATCTAATTACTGGCCAGGTCCCTTGTCAACATTTACCACAGTATTTAATCTCAGGAGCAGAGGTTCTCCTTCTTGTCTTTCTCCTTTCTCCTCCTCATCACCAGGAGCTGTAGGCGTGTGACTTTTCTCTCTCTGCGTCTCCTTTCCCTATAGTATGTATATCTGATATGTTTATACATATATATATATATACCGTATTTTCCGGACTATAAGTCACACTTTTTTTTTCATCCTTTGGCTGGGTTTGCGACTTATACTCAGGTGTGACTTATATATTAAAATATATAATTTCACATGTTCGTTTTTTTTTTTTTTACACTGACAGCCGCTAGAGGGCACCGGTGCGACCTATACTCCGGAAAATACGGGTATATATCTCCTTGTCTTTCATCTTCCTCCTGCTGTGTTGCCTGCTCCAAAGTGTTTTGACTCCTCTTTTTGGTCCTCCTCCTTCTTCCCTGTTATGGAGAGGGCCATACTTATTCTGATGAGGAATCTGAAGGAACTTTTAAAGGCTTCTCATTTACTCCGACAGTCAAGCAGAAGAGCAAAGTTTCTTTTGTTGTAGCGCCACCTGGGTGTCATGAGCAGGAGCTCCAGGAGTGTTTGAAGCCTCCTTTTCTTGTGGTCTAGAGCCAGAACATTAGCAAACAATGTCTTATCCCTGGTTCAGACCACGCATTTATTTATATATTCCAACACTTAAACAAGGAACAATGGAGCAGCCACAGCTTCTGGACTGTTGCTGTTCTTTTTCTCCTTACCTGGAGCTGCGGGAATGTGTGTCACTTTCCAGTCAGGAGCACGGAATCTGATTCTGACTCTTTCACAGACCGATTTACCGACATATTTAACGGAAGCTGCAGTTCCCACCGAAGCAACACTGACTTCCTCCTCTTCCTCCTCTTCCTCCTCTTCGCCACCTAAGCAGCAGCTGCAGGACAGTGGGGCCTCCTCTGCCTCAGCAGACACAACAGGAATGTCACTCTTCCAACTTTTTCCTCCTTTTTCTCCTCTTTATCGGGAGTGACAGGAGTTTGTTTTTAGAGCTCCTCGTTCTCCTCTACACGTAGGAGTAGGAAAAGAATGTCGCGCCTCTGGGATAACGAACCCACAGCGTAAATGGAAAAAACCTCCCCGTAACTTGCCGTCACTTCCTGTTTTTCACCTGCGGGTGTGTTTTCAAAGTCCTATACAAGGAGCTCAGAAAAAGAAAAAAAAAAAAAACGTCTCGCTCACTTTTGTTGATTCTGTGCACGTCACATGCACTATGCAAAACCATAGACTACTGGAGACTGCGTGCGTGCGTGCGTGCGTGTGTGTGTTCGCGTGTGTGTGTATAGACATTATGTCACTGAGGACGAAGGACGTCACTGATGTTCCTGAAGTCTCCTTCCGAATATTTCTGTCTGTATTTCTGCTGTATTAAAGTTCAGTGAACATCGCACAGAACGCATAGAACATCGAACATCAACCCGTTCCAAAAACAGCGCCACATAGTTCAGAGTAAAAGTAAGAAAAGTAAGAAAACGATCCCCAAAAAATAAATGTGGGAGTGGGCGATTATCGGACCCACAGACCTGAACTGACACCTGTTGTTTTCCGTTCTGCTTATTTACATTTCTGTTGATTGAGGAATGTTAATCAATTCCTTGTCTTTTTATGCTCTATGTTTTTAATTTATTTAATTTCTTTTTCTTTTCCGACCTCTAAGGTTTGCATTATCTGTCTGGTAAAGGCCTAGAAATATTAGTTTAAAAAAATTACTATGATATATTATAGAAAATTCTAGAATAGTTATTAACTTTTTCAAATTCTTCCTTCCCATACTTCCTCCAATCCAGTGTTTTTTTTTTGGTTTTTTTTTTTGGTTTTTTTGTTTCTGTTTTAAGGACAAAGCGCAGTTCAGCTACTGTTCTGTTTCGGTGCTTGTGTCAGTAGTGAAAGCACAGCTCCTGGTCTTATTACCTTGTTCTTGCTACAGAAACTCCCCCAAAATCTACCTGGTTTTTTTTTGCTGTATTACCGTAATTTCCGGACTATAACCCTAACTACTTTTTTCACACGCTTTGCAACCTACGGCTTAAACAATGATGCGGCCAATTGATGGATTTTTACGGGCTAACGAAGTTCTGTGTGTTATACTAGTAGCGCATGTCTGTCTGTGAATGGTCGTGTCCATAGAGAAGCTAAAGTTGAGAGCAGTTTGGCTCAGGGTGGCTGATAATAAAGAGCCCAACTTCCCTGTTTCTGTTTACCTCTGCTGCGGACGAGCACAAAGTGAAGGGAGTTAGCCCCGGAGCTAATGTTAGCTTCGGCCCTGTAGCAGAGCACTAAGTCTCCCCTGTGTATTCCAACTACAGTTGAGGGCGCCGAAGCAGGAAAGAGCTTCTGAGAAAAGCATTTATTTAATTAAAAATGAAAAAAAATCTGTGTAGATATCTGATGTTATAACGTTTACACCTGCGGTTTATAGAGAAGTGCGCCATATGCATATGTTTTAATTATTTCTTTTTGAATTTAGTGGGTGCGGCTTATATTCCAGTGCGCTCAATAGTCCGGAAATTACGGTACTTATGTGATTATCACATCCTGGGAAAGTCTTCTTCCATTCTTTTTAACCCAAGAAGAAATGAATCAAGATTAAACAACAGAAAATTCTAAAACATGAAATGAACTGAACATCTAAATATTTAAATCCAACCGTTCTCTGAGTGCAGATAAATACAGTGTATGTACAAACGATCTATTGACACACAAATGTGTCAATATCAAGTTGGTAAATGTTTCTCACATTCAGATTGATTCTTTATTAGAATATGTGGGAACTGACTATATATATATATATATATTATATATAATTGTATAATACAAGTATATTTCCGAATGCTGACTTTTTTCTCTTGCATATACACTAAGCTGGAATTGTATGGAATTTCAAAGTCTCGGAATTTATGGAGAAGACAGAGTCTTAAATGAAAACTGACTAATGGATGCAGTTTTTTTTATTTTATTTTTTTATTTTTTATTTGCCGTTTAATGGCCTGAAGTTTTTATTGATTTTACTTTTGGTTTTTATCTAATGGGCCTTGTGCAGTTGCAGCGTTTCAAATATTATTTGATGCATGGTTACGGAGAGCGTTTGTGCAAACAAGTATGTATATTTCTGGCTTAACCTTTTCATTTTCATAAAACTCATCAATTCATTGTGACAATTCAGTATTTATATCCAATATATTGTAATGCGGCAATACATTTGCCTTTTCTTTTTTTAGTGAGATATTGTTTTGTGCCATTGATTGCTATTTTATTTTCATTCTTTTTATATGTCGACCATACTTTGGTATTTATGGTTAATATATTTTTTTAATTTTTATATTTGTGTTGCTTTTTTTGGCCTTATATGTTAAATGGATTCATAGGAGCGACTGATGGACTGAGCGTTATTAGTAGCAAACTTAGTGCAAATGGAAAACTGATTCATTTTCTGTCCATATGCCACCCCACCCCCCGCCCCTTCCTCCTGATCTCCTCCTCCTCTCTGGCTCGATCTCATATTCTCTTCTTACTGGTGCTTCTTTTCCTCCTCATGTCCTTTTCGTCTCCATCCACCTTGTTCCATTTCTTCTTCTCCCCTTACTCCCTCTCGAACTCTCCTCCCCCCTCAACCCTCTCTTTATTTATTGATGGGTATTTGTAACAAAAATTGTATTCATGAAGGACAGAGTCAGTGTTTGTAAATGTACAGAAATCCTAGTGTTAAATTGATCTTCTTTGCTGTTTGTCCTTAAGGATTTGTCTCTTTGTCTTGTGAAAAACAGTCAATCGAGTAGGGAGAGGGGGGGGGGGGGGGGGGGGGGCATTTTGAGATTCAGGGAACCTCGCACCTATACAATTCTTTATTTAACATCCATTTTTAGACTGAAAAGGGAAAGCACCATTAATGTCATTCTTTTCTGCAGATTTTCTTTTGTTATTATTTGTCAACAGAGTTAAAAAAAAAAACATTATTCAGTTGAAAAAGAAAAAAGGTGGAAAATGATCATTAGATTTCCTGTCTGTTTTTATGGTGTTGTCTCCACAAGTGGAGAAAAACACCTTAAAGTTTGACGATGCCGAAAATGTGCTTCTGTGTCTGTCGAAATAAAGCCTAAATCCTCCGAGGTCAGCTTTAAACCAACAGCGCAAATCTTCTCTGTCAACGGAAATCAATGAAAAATATCATTATCATTGAATTATCATTATCGTTGAATTATCATTCCAGTAGTGTGTGTGTGTGTGTGTGTGTGTGTGTGTGTGAGAAGTGAGTGGTCCAGTTCCTCCTTTCCACAGTATTGTGATTGATGTGTATGTACGTATCTCTTATTTATTCATCTTCAGTTTCAACACTGTGATTAAATGTATTTAATTTAATTAACTTCTTTTTACATGATTATTGTGTGCAATAAATAAAAATAATATTGGTTTATTGTTGTTTTCAATTGATGACATTTCTTTAACGTCAGATTAATCCCAGTTGTGGATTAATTATGATTCATGATCAGTTTCGCCGTTTGTTACCTTGAAAAAGTAATCTGATTGCTGAATACTCCTTTAAAAAGCTTCTTGAGGGGTTGCTTAATTTTAAACGTAACTTAGTTTAATTACAAGTTACTTACGTTATTAGAAGTGCATTTTCAACAGTATCGTCAATGTATCTGCTGATATTTTAAGTTAAACTTAAAGACTATGTACTAAAATATAAAATAAACACACATTTAACTGTGTATTTAACACTGTAATGGAAAACTGCATTGTTTACAAAACTATTAAATTCTGTTTAACATGTTTTATGAGCATTGAACCTGTTGTTAACAGCATTAGAGCACCACCTGGTGGGACTTTTTTGTACACACTATATATAATTACATATATTCACAGACACATTTATACTTTTACATATATTCATTTAGATTAGTCTACATAAATACGACGTATAATATATACGTCGACTAAAAGAATAGAGTTAACTCAAGTCAAGAGGTTTTTTATGACGTCATGACATTAACAGGAAGTACACCGACACATGTAGCTCTCCGTACGTTACTTTCGTAGCTCTTGCTAATGAAGATAACACAATAATCAGTTGTTCTATCGCCTCCCAGTAAGATGCCCTGTCTTAAGTCCTTCTTTTTTCTTTTTTTTTTTACATTTGGTTGT